ATGAAATTTCAACTCAACTGTTAAACTATGGCGTATAAAAGTTTGAAGAGTTAATTCATCATAACGTTTAAATGCTGCCATGCCAAGGTCAGACCCTGCTACTCAAAATATCGCCATCGGCCGTCTCCAGGCCGGAGTGTCCCAAATTGAAGTTGTAAGAACTGAACATGTTAACCAATGCCCAATCTTGCGAATGTGAAAGAGATACCAGCAGACTGTCGTCTAGATGTCGTTTGTTTTATGTCTTTAGGTTGCTGCTTCATTAACGTTTATTAAACACCCGTATTTATTTATTTTTATCTTTTAGTTACTGTTTTATTAAAGTTTATCCAGCGACCGCTTTTATTTGTAATTGTATTATTATAATCAGGTATATATAAGTGTGGACGATCAGCATCTTGTTGGAAGTTTTTTTTAGAAATCTTACATACTATTCATGAACATTCATTTGTTTGTATAAACGGAAGTCAATTAGTGGTTGGGTCCAATGTCACCTGACATGTATGCTGTGAAATTAGAAAAAAAAATGTTACAATTTTAGTTATAATGAAATACTATAATGTTCTATTATCTTCCAAATTAAAAGAGCTTTATCAAGTCAGGTTAGAAGAGGTAATTACAGAGAAATTTGTTATGAATTTTAACAAGAAAATGTCATCAAATTTATGTCAATGTAAATTAAAAAATATAAGCATATTGTGTTTGATTATAAACACTTAGACTGATTCATAATCCATCGCAACTTTTTCAATTCGCAGTTCACTTATTTAAGTCATTATAAAATTGAATTTATATTTCTAAAATTAAATTGATAACAGATGACATTGCAAGAACGTATTTACTTTTAATTTACAGTAAAAGTAGCCACATCATTGTCCCTTTATTTTACGAGTTATCATTTTTATTTCTTGCTTGTCATTCTCATTGCATATTAACAACTAAAAACTCTTTATCTACAATGATAGGCATATTTTTATTTTTCAACAAAGTTTCTGACTGTCTTCACAAATTCACTTCCACTTTGAGAAAATAACTATTTGAAGTGAGATCTGATCTCTGTACGTTCTTTTCAAACGTATCCAACTATTATAAAAGAGAGGCGAAAGAAACATTCAAACTCATAAGTCGAAAATAAACTGACAACACCATGGCTAAAAAAAGACAACAACAGTAAGCAAAACACAACATAGGAAACTAAAGACTAAGGAACACGAACCCCACCATAAACAGGGGGTGCTCCGGATGGGTAAGCAGATCTTGCTCCACATTTGACACCCACCTTGTTGTTCATTTAAGTAAACCCGGGGATAAGTCTGATTTGGTAGGTCACATTAAAATACAATATTTTCCATTCTTTTATTATTTTTTTTTTTTGGGGGGGGGGGTCTCCCTTTTTATTTATAGACAAAGACATACGGATTTTTTGCGTGACCTTTCTTAATTATTTCTAGCATATTCAAATAATATCAATGGTATAATATATTATCAATAGAAGTCAGGGGTTTTACTTAAATAAACAACTTTCAAATAACCTTAAGTTATGTTGAAAACAAGCAATTTCTAATATTATTTATATAAGTAGCTTTGGTAAATATTGTTTACAGAGGTGTCCATTCCTACACATTTTAATAGCTTAAACAAATCATGACATACATTTGATTAATTTTCTCATGAAATATAGTAAATTAATTCTTCTGAGAAAGTAAGTGACTTTCTGACGCACTTACATTTCATATTCACGCTTTTGGGTCAAAGATTTGTCTCTTGGAACTATTGAAAAATCATTTTTTTCTCGAAAACCTTCAAGGTAGACAGGTATAAATAGATGGAAACCTGTGATTTAATTGAAGTTATTTATAATTTTTAACCAAAAATAATGATAGATATTCCTTATATAATTTTCAAAGATGTGTAAAATAACTTATTGAAATAATATCTTTGACATTATTTTTAAGGTTACCCTTTACCTATACCTTCCTTTTAAACTTGATTTATTATTAATTTTGTGTGATAAAATAATGCAAAAATTCGTAAAAACTTATTTAAACCAATGCATCTTTTGAAATTTAAAGTAACTCTATTGATTAATTTCAAGATTGAAATGATCTTTTGTTGATTAAAGAAAAATAACTTGTTTAAGTAACGCCCCTGACATGAAAAAGCAATTTTGGCTTGCTAGATAACCAAAAGGAAAAAAATGTAAAAAATAATAATTCTCATTCTTCACAAGCTTACAAGAGAACGATTGAACACAATGATAAGAACAGTATGTGGAAAACGATATTAAATCGTTCAATTATCCCATCCCGGATGCACTTAAACTGTTGTTGTAAAGGATGTCTTGTATTAGATACAATACAAAGGTAACAAAGAAACAGGTGGGTAACAACTGTTGCTGAATAGGTTATCTGCACGAGTAGTCAGGTGAAGGTCCGAGGCGATAGTCGAGGACCTTGACCTGACTACAAGTGCAGAACAACTATACGGCAATTTGTTTCCGCCTAGTTTTTTGTGACCTTTGTGTTGTATCTGACTTGTACGACGTTTCAAGAAAGAAGTAGTACATTTTGCGTTAAGAAGAGGTAGCAAAATTAAACAAATTAGAAACTTCAGTGACCATATACCAGTTAATGTAAGTTACAGTTTAAACAAACTTTTTTTCACTTCCCTTCAGCCGAGAGTTTTTTTCTCAAGAAATTCAAGAATCTAATAATTATATAAAAATGAACCATGTCTAGGAAATGATGAATTTCGTACAAATTTGAGACCTTTTGAAATGCAACTTCGCAAGTAAGTGATGTATGAAAAAGTTTTCAGAGGTAAGCAAGCTAATATTTGATTTTTATTTGGGGAAAAACGGAAAAGGGGGGGGGGGGGGGGGGGGGGGAGGGGGTTCAAATAAATTTAAAAAAAAACAGGCTTGATCCTTCTTTTGTTGAAAAAATACAGGATGTGCCATTCTATCCCCCCAATTTCCCCTTAAAAAAATAATAAAAATCGTACGTTTGCTCCCAAATATATGAATTCAGTAACAATATAAATGTATCAAAAGAATGAATTTTCTATTTCATTAGTGCATGAAATGTTATAAAAAATGGATTTTGTCTTGTTATTAGATATACATAGGCAAATATTTTGGATTTAAAAAAAAAATTCATGCTTATAGGTTTTTATATGTCTCTGATAGTGTTGATCAGGATTAAACACGTGTCACAATATGATCCAATCGCAGCTTACCGTCCAAAATTGGTGACATAAGTTGAATGATTTGCGGCCTATTTGAACATGTATTACACGGACACTTTTTATTTATAGGATCAATCGTGTATTCGTGAGTTGATAGGGATTTTATCTTTTGATTAGATTTGATTTTTTTATATATATTTCCTGTCTTTTTTATTGAAATATAAACGTCGGTACCAGCATTTCTTTACTTTCAGCATTGTCCAGAATACTATTCATGTCTATATATTGAAAAAAAAAAAAACATTTACGGACTGACCATTTAGCTTCAAAAGGAGGGTATGTTTTTTTCTGAGTAAGAAAATTATTTAGTTTTTCAATGCTATCACCCAAATATTTTTTTTCGAAATTACTACTATTATATACGGCATTAGGAAAATCATATTTTTTTCATACAATTGGGGATCAGAATATTTCTTTAAGAAAAAACCATAAATCCCCCCCCTTTTTTGAAGTTAAATGGTCAATCCCTTAGCGTACTGATATGAATAGTAATATACTGGAATTGTTTGAAAAAATTGAGTTATTGATGCCAATGTAAATATTTTAATAAAAAAGACAGGAAATATGCCGGTGAAACAAAAAGTTCAACTCTAATTGAAATTGAAAGTGCCCATGAACTCACTGATCATGCACGAGTGATTCTATTCATAAAACGTGTCCGTGTAACAACTAAAAAGTGTTCGTGCATCATCTAAAAGGTGTCCGTGTAACACCCGTAAATGTACTGTTTTTCTATAGCTCTGCTAGCGGCAAAGTCGTACAAATTAATGATTAATTAATTGAATTAATAATTAAGATCCATTTTGTTTCATCTGGTGATCCGTTTAGTTGGCAATCGCAATGGCAGTCAGCAGTGTTTAAGAACATCCGTTGTTCGACCTGCTAGTCAAATGCGTTTTGTTAAAATATACTTTTTCACTTTTTTGGTCTTTTGGAAAATATTGTTTGTGCTGTATTTAGACCCCTCTACCAATAATAACCATTGTATATCTATATGATGAGAAATAGCGCTCTGTAATGCATGGTAGTTCCATATATCTATTCAGTAGGTTTTGCTTTTCAACAGGCACTACCAAATGGCACTGTACAACTGGACACAAACCAACCTCTATCAGCTGACATGATAACATTGAAGATAACAGCCGAAGACACTCCCTCTTCTGTATCTCCTGTTGTTAAGAATGTCAAGGTGGAGGCCTGTTTCGAAGGTAATTGATTAAATTATAACCAATATGTTAAAAAGCATATGATCTTATATTTGCCATGTTATTATTATTCATATGCATTGACAAAAGAATAAGCACATTTCTATCTTTTAATCCAATAAACTTAATTTGTAATTGTGTGGTAAACATGGAATGAAAATGTTCAGATTTGGGCGTTCATGATGAAGGTTACTGAAAAAAAGCGCACGGTCGCACGAAATTGATAAAGTGTTATTTTCATATATATTACCCACAAAACAACTTTCATTTTATCTTGAATTTGAACATTTCAGAACAATCCCATATGTTCCCTTTTACTTGACTATAGTATTTTAGCTTCATAAGTGGAGGACAAATCGACATCTTAATGCATAAATAATATTGACAATTTTATTAAGTAATATATGTGTTAAAATAAATGTACTAAGCCTGTTGTGATCATGGTGATGTTTTCTGTAGCTGTGACCACAGGACAACCAGCCACAACACCTACATCGTCTCCAGTGATAACCTCTGGAACACCTTCTATAGTGTCAACTCCAACTACAGGTACTCAAGCTGGAGCACCAGGAACAAGTCCACCTTTGATTCAAACAACTCAACCGTCGGTAACCACAGGACCCGCTTCTACAACTGCAGGTATATTAAAAGTCAGAAAATCTGATAGTCATTATCAACAAGGCAAATTCCTCACTTTATTTGTTTATTTTTGAGTTTTAATGTTCGCTATAATCACTTCGTAAAATAATGTCCAGGTACAGCATTTTCGTTTTTTTTAATAACGTAAGATATACTAGGTGAATTATGAATTGTTGTTTTACATGAAGAAAACGTTGTTGTCCCTGCAGATAAAGCCCCAAACAACATCATTTTGTGTGTAAATCACATTACATAAACTGCTTGATAAATGAACTAGGGATTGACAATTCACTTGGAAACACAACATTTACACCCAACGACACTAACCAAGGAGGACATCTTGTATAATTTTAGGGTTTTTGTATGTTTCTTTTGAATTTCAACCAAAGATGCAAAACTTGCTCTTCCTTTACTGTATTGGATACCTAAATTGATCAAGTGTCCTTACAAACAACGTTATATTAGTGGGTCTTCCAAGTACTCCACGAAACATCATTCTAAATTATTAACATCAATTTATTCAGCACCCAAAGCCGGCCTTCAAATTTATTGTGAAACTACCTATTCTAGAGTATGTGTAAATCAGATACAGATGCTTAAAAAAGTTTAAAGATCTGTTAGAGTACATACAATCTAAGACTATTTCGTCTTCCAATAGTATTAAGATATTTTAATTTTCTATACTTTATACAAGTATTTCCCATTCCAAACTAAAAGACAAATTGAAAGAGTTGGTTCTTCTTTGTTTCATAAGAAAGAAAGGCCAACATAGATACAAGTGTCTTCTGTTAGGGAGGGATAAATTGTACTTTGTGAAAAAATCACTCTGATTCAAACAAGCAATTTTCTGTAACTGATATTATCAAGATGCTTGATTTCTTGATTGACAATATACTTGTTACGTTTAGAGGACGTGTATTTCAACTAACAATCGGCATTCTCATAGGAACCAACTGTGCTGCACTTTTGCCGACTTGTATCTTTATTCATATGAGGCTGACTTCTTACAGGAGCATCTTAGGAAGAATGAAAGGAAGCTGACATTATCCATTCACTTCACTTTCCGCTAAATAGATGATGTCCATTCACTAAATAATTTAAAGTTTGGTGACTATGGTCAAAGTATCTATCCAATCGAATTTGAAATAAAGGATTCAACAGATACTTTTATGTCTGCCTCAAATCTTGACTTACATCTATTAATTGACAACAAGGGCCTGTTGAGAACAAAACTTTACGACAAAAGGGATGATTTCAGCTTCCCAATTGTGAATTTTCCATTTGTATGTAGCAACATTCCGGCAGCGCCTGCATATGGAGTATATATTTGCCAGTTGATACAATATCCCAGGGCTTGCGTTTTCTATCTTGATTTCTTTCGATTTGTGTTTAGTTATGTGTTCGAAGGTTCCCTATAATCAATTCATAAAATTATTTTCAGATATTGAAACAACGTAAGCTATCTAAGGCTAATTTTGAAAGGTTGTTTTCTTTTCAAAACTGGTCAATTGATTGATTGGATTGGAATGTAGACTTTGTACATGATACTATATTAAAAGAAAATCGTAGACAATAAATATCGACCAAAAGGATAACTGAAATAGTAACATTTCCATCAATTTAATAGGTGGTTTGAATTATTTGTGGAAACTCTTGACATCACTGATCCTCTCAATCGGATATATTCATGATCTCAATATTCCAATACCACTAGTGGTCTGTCAAATATTTTGTTTGCTACGTTACTGGTCAAACATTTCAACGGACAGACCTTCTAATCTAGCAGGATGTTAGATAAGGATTACAAGATGAACATTACCGTTCTGTTGCCAGAGAAAGCACGTTGTCAATGTTAACGGTAACCAACAACAATACGTCATATGTATTCCTTGTATTCCAATTAATACTATTGCTATTTGAATTTATAGGTTTGGAAAAATGTCCGGACGATTCGACAAAGGGTCCACTAAATTTTGAAACTGTGACTTCTTCATCGAATCCAGATGGTGCTGAAAACGCTTTAACACCTTCAGGATGGAAACCGTCAGCTGGAGACGAAAAACCAGTCTTAGAGTTATCAACAAGTGACAGTAATCCGATAATGAATGTTGCTCTAGTTACACAATTTGTTGACAGTATTGTTGTCAAACTTTATAATGACAACGTTTTAGTTTATGAGGAGACTGTCAAGGTATGATATTTTATTGTTATCATCTAATTGTAATATTAATGAAAAAGAAAAAAACTCAAATTCATTAACTTTGAAGAGCATAAAAAGCAGTTCTGATAGTCAAGTACAACCAAAGAATGTTTACAAATTACGTTACAATGTACTCAAGTGTCTTTGTTTCGGGGGTTATGAATCTTTTCGTAAGGACATGAATATTAGTTTTGATTACAATTATATTTTAGTAATAAAACGTTTCCTTAAGGCTATAGTCGTCTGTAAATAGTAAGCACTGTATATATTGGTTAAACCATTTAAGGGTAAGATGCCTATGATATAACACTATACAATGCAATATAGTACTCCATAATAGGCACACTCATACATTCAGAAGTCTATGTATTTCAACAGGCACAACCAAATGGCATCGTAGAACTGGAATTTATCAAACCACTGTTGGCTGACAACATAACATTGACGATAATACCTGACCAAACACCTAATGCCACTCCGGTTGTAAAAAGTGTCATCGTGGAGGCTTGTGTTAAAGGTAACTACTTTTGTTGTACTGTATATTCAAATTAACAATTAGATTTGATAAACTGCTCCGTAAACCCCGATAAAATTATAACCAATATATTAAAATGCATATAATCTTATATTTGCCATATTATATTCATTCATATGTATTGACAAAAGAGTATGAACAATTTTATTTTTGAATCCTTGATATATTAGAATATACCTATCAATCTTTTGTCTTAACTTGTGATTGCCTGAAAACATTGATTGAATATGTTGAGGTTTGAGGGTTCATGATGAAGACTACTGAAAAAGTGCACGGTCGCACGAAATTGACAAAGTGTTATTTTCATATATATTACCAACAAAACAATTTTCATGTCATTTTGAATCTGAACATTGCAAAAAAATCCCATATGTTCCCTTTTCTTTACTTTAATATATTTGCTTCATTAGTGGAGGACAAATCGACATCTTAATGTATAGATGAATTGAAATATTCAATCAGTTATATATGTGTTGAAATAAATGTACTAAGCCTGTGATCATGGTGATGTTTTCTGTAGCTATGACCACAGGACAACCAGCCACAACACCTACATCGTCTCCAGTGATTACCTCTGCAACACCTTCTACAGCATCAACTCCAACTTCAGGTACTCAAGCTGGAGCACCAGGAACAAGTCCACCTTTGATTCAAACTACTCAACCGTCGGTAACCACAGGACCCGCTTCTACAACTGCAGGTATGTTTGAAGTCAGAAAATCTGAAATTCATTATCAACAAGGCAAATTCCTCACGTTATTTGTTTATTTTTGAGTTTTCATGTTCGCTATAATCACTTCGTAAAATAATGTCCAGGTACAGCATTTTCGTTTTTTGAAACAACGTAAGATATAATAGATGAATTTTGAAATATTGTTTTACATGACAAATATGTTATTGTCCCCGCAGATAAAGCCCCACAAACACATCGTTTTTGTGTGTAAATCACATTACATAAATTGCTTGATAAATGAACAAGGGATTGATAATTTACTTGGAAACTCAACATTTACCCCCTCACGACACTTATCAAGGAGGACATTCTTTATAATTATAGGTCTGTTGTATGTTATACGGTCTTTTGAATTTCAACCAAAGATGAAGAACTGGATCTCATTTCACTGTATTGGATACCTAAATTTCTCAAGTGTCCTTACAAACAACGTTATATTACTGGGTCTTATAAGCACTCAACGAAACTTCTTTGTAAATTATCAACATCAATTTATTCAGCAATGAAAGCCGGTCTTCAAATTGATTGTGAAACTACCTATTCTAGAGTAGGTTTGATTACGGATACTTAAAAAAATCTAAATGTCTGTCAGAGTACATACAATCTACGACTATTTCGTCTTACAATAGTATAAATATATTTAACTTTTCTATACTTTACACAAGTATTTCCCATTCCAAACTAAAAGACAAATTGAAAGAATTGGTCCTGCTGATACAAGTGTCTTCTGTAAGGGAGGGATATATCGTACTTTGTGAAAAAATCACTCTGATTCAAACAAGCCAGTCTCTGAAACTGACATAATCTAAATGATTTATTTCTTCATTGATTACATATTTGTTACGTTTGGAAGCAGTGTATTTCAACAAAAAATCGGCATTCCCATAGGAACCAATTGAGCGGCTCTTTTTACCAATTTGTATCTTTATTCATATGAGTCTGACTTCATACAGGAGCTTCATAGGAAGAATGAAAGGAAGCTGGCATTATCCTTTCATATCACTTTACACTATATAGAAGATGTCCATTCACTAAATAAATCAATGTTTCTTGACTATGTTCAGAGCATCTATCCCATCGATCTTGAAATAAATGCTACGTAACAGGTCAAACTTGTGAACGGACAGCCCTTCTAATCTAGCAGCATGTTAGATAAAGAATACAAGATTGACATACCTTTCTGTTAACAGGGAAAGACCGTTGTCAATGTTAACGGTAACCAGCAGCCAAACGGCATATGTATTCCTTATATTCCAATTAATACTATTGTTATTTGAATTTATAGGTTTGGAAAATTGTCCGGACGATGCGCCAAAGGGCCCATTAAATTTTGTAACTGTGACTTCTTCATCGAATCCAGATGGTGCTGAAAACGCATTTACACCTTCAGGATGGAAACCGTCAGCTGAAGACGAAAAGCCAGTTTTAGAGTTATCAACAAGTGACAGTAATCCGATAATGAATGTTGCTCTAGTAACACAATTTGTTGACAGCATTGTTGTCAAACTTTATAATGACAACGTTTTAGTTTATGAGGAGACTGTCAAGGTATGATATTTTATTATTATCATCTGATTGTAGTATTAATGAATAGGAAGACAACTTCAATTTATTAACTACGAAACGCACGAAAAGCAGTTCTGAAATTCTAGTATAACCAAAAAATGTTTACAAATTACGTTACATTGAACTCTAGTGTCGTTGTTTAGGGGATTATGCTTCTTTTCGTAAAGACATGAACATTAGTCTTTGATTACAATTATATTTTAGTAATGAAACGTTGCATTAAGATTATAGTCGTCTGTCAATACTAAGCACTGTGTATATTGGTAACACCATTTAAGGTAAAGATACCCATTAAATGACACTATACAATGCAATAAAGTACTCCATAATAGGCACATTCATACATTCAGAAGGGTATGTATTTCAACAGGCACAACCAAATGGCATCGTAGAACTGGAATTTATCAAACCTCAGTTGGCTGACAAGATAACATTGACAATAATACCTGACCAAACACCTAATGCAACTCCGGTTGTAAAAAGTGTCACCGTGGAGGCTTGTATTAAAGGTAACTAATTTTGTTGTACTGTACATTCAAATTAACCATTAGATTTGATAAACTGCTCCGTAAAAAACGATAGAATGTTAAAATGCATTTAATCTTATATTTGCCATATTATATTCATTCATATGTATTGACAAAAGAGTATGAACAATTTTATCCTTAAATCCTTTTTTATTGAATATAACTATCAATGTTATGTCTTAATTTGTGATTGCTTGTAGACATGGATTGAATATGTTGAGGTTTGACCGTTCATGATAAAGGTTACTGAAAAAAGCGCTCGGTCGGACACAATTGATTTTCTGTTATTTTCATATATATGACCAACAAAACAACTTTCATGTCATCTTGAATTTGAACACTGCAAAACAATCCCATATGTTCCCTTTTACTTGATTATTATATTGTTGCTTCATTAGTGGAGGACAAAATCGACATCTTAATGTATAGATGATATTGACAATTTATTCAGTTATATATGTGTTAAAATAAATGTACTAAGCCTGTGATGACAGTGATGTTTTCTGTAGCTCTGACCACAGGACAACCAGCCACAACACTTACATCGTCTCCAGTGATTACCTCTGGAACACCTTCTACAGCGTCAACCCCAACTACAGGTACTGAAGCTGGAGCACCAGGAACAAGTCCACCTTTGATTCAAACAACTCAACCGTTGGTAACCACTGGACCCGCTTCTACAACTGCAGGTATTTTTTAAAGTCAGAAAATCTGAATTTCATTATCGTTGTTGTTTTACATGACAAATACGTTGTTGTCCTGCAGATAAAGCCCCAATGAACATCGTTCCTATGTGTAAATCACATTACATAAACTGCTTGATAAATGAACTAGGGATTGACATTTCACTTGAAAACTCAACATTTACCCCAACGACACTAACCAAGGAGGACGTATTGTATAATTATAGGGTCTTTTGTATGTTTCTTTTGAATTTCAACCAAAGATGCGGAACGTGATCTTCCTTAACTGTATTAAATACTTATTTTGAATAAGTGTCCTTACAAACAACGTTATATTACTGGGTCTTCCAAGTACCCCACAAAACCTCTTTCTAAATTATTAACATCAATGTATTCAGCAACCAAAGCCAGGCTTCAAATTTATTGTAAAACTACCTATTCTAGAGTAGGTGTGAATCATATACAGATGCTAAAAAAAGTTTAAAGATCTGTTAGAGAACATACGATCTAAGACTATTTCGTATTGCAAATTGTATTAAGATATTTTAATTTTCTATACTTTACACAAGTATTTCCCATTCCAAACTAAAAGGCAAATTTAAAGAGTTGATCCTATTTTGTTCATAAGAAAGAAAGGCCAACATAGGTTCAAGTGTCTTGACTTAGGGAGGAATAAATCGTACTTTGTAAAAGAATCACTCTGATTCAAACAAGCAATTCTCTGAAACTGATATTATCGAGATGTTTGATGTCTTGATTGACAACATAATTGTTACGTTTGGAAGACGTGTATTTCAACAAACAATCGGCATTCCCATAGGAGCCAACAGTGCGGCTCTTTTTCCCGACTTGTATCTTTAATCATATGAGGCTGACTGTATACAGGAGTTTTTTAGGAAGAATGAAAGGAAACTGGCATTATCCTTTGGCTTCACTTTCCTTGTATTCCAATTTAAACTATTGCTTTTTGAATTTATAGGTTTGGGAAAATGTCCAGACGATACGCCAAAGGGCCCATTAAATTTTGAAACTGTGACTTCTTCATCGAATCCAGATGGTGCTGAAAACGCTTTAACACCTTCAGGATGGAAACCGTCAGCTGAAGACGAAAAGCCAGTTTTAGAATTATCAACAAGTGACAGTAATCCGATAATGAATGTTGCTCTAGAAACACAATTTGTTGACAGTATTGTTGTCAAACTTTATAATGACAACGTTTTAGTTTATGAGGAGACTGTCAAGGTATGATATGTTATTATTATCATCTGATTGTAATATTAATGAAAAAGAAGACAACTTCAATTTATTAACTACGAAACGCACGAAAAGCAGTTCTGAAATTATAGTATAACCAAAGAATGTTTACAAATTACGTTACATTGTACTCAAGTGTCGTTGTTTAGGGGATTATGATTCTTTTCGTAAAGACATGAACATTTAGTCTTTGATTACAATTATATTTTAGTAATGCAACGTTGCATTAAGACTATAGTCGTCTGTCAATACTAAGCACTGTGTATATTGGTAACACCATTTAAGGTAAAGATACCCATTAAATGACACTATACAATGCAATATAGTACTCCATAATAGGCACATTCATACATTCAGAAGGCTATGTATTTCAACAGGCACAACCAAATGGCATCGTAGAACTGGAATTTATCAAACCTCAGTTGGCTGACAAGATAACATTGACAATAATACCTGACCAAACACCTAATGCAACTCCTGTTGTAAAAAGTGTCACCGTGGAGGCTTGTATTAAAGGTAACTAATTTTGTTGTACTGTACATTCAAATTAACCATTAGATTTGATAAACTGCTCCGTAAAAAACGATAGAATGTTAAAATGCATATAATCTTATGTTTGCCATATTATATTCATTCATATGTATTGACAAAAGAGTATGAACAATTTTATCTTTAAATCCTTTTTTATTGAATATAACTATCAATGTTATGTCTTAATTTGAGATTGCTTGTAGACATGGATTGAATATGTTGAGGTTTGACCGTTCATGATAAAGGCTACTGAAAAAAGCGCTCGGTCGGACACAATTGATTTTCTGTTATTTTCATATATATGACCAACAAAACAACTTTCATGTCATCTTGAATTTGAACACTGCAAAACAATCCCATATGTTCCCTTTTACTTGATTATTATATTTTTGCTTCATTAGTGGAGGACAAAATCGACATCTTAATGTATAGATGATATTGACAATTTATTCAGTTATATATGTGTTAAAATAAATGTACTAAGCCTGTGATGACAGTGATGTTTTCTGTAGCTCTGACCACAGGACAACCAGCCACAACACCTACATCGTCTCCAGTGATTACCTCTGGAACACCTTCTACAGCGTCAACCCCAACTACAGGTACTCAAGCTGGAGCACCAGGAACAAGTCCACCTTTGATACAAACAACTCAACCGTCGTTAACCACTGGACCCGCTTCTACAACTGCAGGTATTTTTTAAAGTCAGAAAATCTGAATTTCATTATCGTTGTTGTTTTACATGACAAATACGTTGTTGTCCTGCAGATAAAGCCCCAATGAACATCGTTTCTATGTGTAAATCACATTACATAAACTGCTTGATAAATGAACTAGGGATTGACATTTCACTTGAAAACTCAACATTTACCCCAACGACACTAACCAAGGAGGACGTATTGTATAATTATAGGGTCTTTTGTATGTTTCTTTTGAATTTCAACCAAAGATGCGGAACGTGATCTTCCTTAACTGTATTAAATACCTAAATTGAATAAGTGTCCTTACAAACAACGTTATAGTACTGGGTCTTCCAAGTACTCCACAAAACCTCTTTCTAAATCATTAACATCAATGTATTCAGCAACCAAAGCCAGGCTTCAAATTTATTGTAAAACTACCTATTCTAGAGTAGGTGTGAATCATATACAGATGCTAAAAAAAGTTTAAAGATCTGTTAGAGAACATACAATCTAAGACTATTTCGTATTGCAAATAGTATTAAGATATTTTAATTTTCTATACTTTACACAAGTATTTCCCATTCCAAACTAAAAGGCAAATTAAAAGAGTTGATCCTATTTTGTTCATAAGAAAGAAAGGCCAACATAGGTACAAGTGTCTTGACTTAAGAGGGAATAAATCGTACTTTGTAAAAGAATCACTCTGATTCAAACAAGCAATTCTCTGAAACTGATATTATCGAGATGTTTGATGTCTTGATTGACAACATAATTGTTACGTTTGGAAGACGTTATTTCAACTAACAATCGGCATCCCCATAGGAGCCAACTGTGCGGCTCTTTTTGCCGACTTGTATCTTTAATCATATGAGGCTGACTGTATACAGGAGTTTTTTTTTAGGAAAAATGAAAGGAAACTGGCATTATCCTTTGACTTCACTTTCCTTGTATTCTAATTTATACTATTGCTTTTTGAATTTTTAGTTTTGGAAAAATGTCCGGACGATGCGACAAAGGGCCCATTAAATTTTGAAACTGTGACTTCTTCATCGAATCCAGATGGTGCTGAAAACGCTTTAACACCTTCAGGATGGAAACCGTCAGCTGAAGACGAAAAGCCAGTTTTAGAGTTATCAACAAGTGACAGTAATCCGATAATGAATGTTGCTCTAAAAACAGAATTTGTTGACAGTATTGTTGTCAAACTTTATAATGACAACGTTTTAGTTTATGAGGAGACTGTCAAGGTATGATATTTTATTATTATCATCTGATTGTAATATTAATGAAAAAGAAGACAACTTCAATTTATTAACTACGAAACGCACGAAAAGCAGTTCTGAAATTATAGTATAACCAAAGAATGTTTACAAATTACGTTAAATGTACTCAAGTGTCATTGTTTAGGGGATTATGATTCTTTTCGTAAAGACATGAACATTTAGTCTTTGATTACAATTATATTTTAGTAATGCAACGTTGCATTAAGACTATAGTTTTCTGTCAATACTAAGCACTGTGTATATTGGTAACACCATTTAAGGTAAAGATACCCATTAAATGACACTATACAATGCAATATAGTACTCCATAATAAGCACATTCATACATTCAGAAGGCTATGTATTTCAACAGGCACAACCAAATGGCATCGTAGAACTGGAATTTATCAAACCTCAGTTGGCTGACAAGATAACATTGACAATAATACCTGACCAAACACCTAATGCAACTCCGGTTGTAAAAAGTGTCACCGTGGAGGCTTGTATTAAAGGTAACTAATTTTGTTGTACTGTACATTCAAATTAACCATTAGATTTGATAAACTGCTCCGTAAAAAACGATAGAATGTTAAAATGCATATAATCTTATATTTGCCATATTATATTCATTCATATGTATTGACAAAAGAGTATGAACAATTTTATCTTTAAATCCTTTTTTATTGAATATAACTATCAATGTTATGTCTTAATTTGTGATTGCTTGTAGACATGGATTGAATATGTTGAGGTTTGACCGTTCATGATAAAGGCTACTGAAAAAAGCGCTCGGTCGGACACAATTGATTTTCTGTTATTTTCATATATATGACCAACAAAACAACTTTCATGTCATCTTGAATTTGAACACTGCAAAACAATCCCATATGTTCCCTTTTACTTGATTATTATATTTTTGCTTCATTAGTGGAGGACAAAATCGACATCTTAATGTATAGATGATATTGACAATTTATTCAGTTATATATGTGTTAAAATAAATGTACTAAGCCTGTGATGACAGTGATGTTTTCTGTAGCTCTGACCACAGGACAACCAGCCACAACACCTACATCGTCTCCAGTGATTACCTCTGGAACACCTTCTACAGCGTCAACCCCAACTACAGGTACTCAAGCTGGAGCACCAGGAACAAGTCCACCTTTGATTCAAACAACTCAACCGTCGTTAACCACTGGACCCGCTTCTACAACTGCAGGTATTTTTTAAAGTCAGAAAATCTGAATTTCATTATCGTTGTTGTTTTACATGACAAATACGTTGTTGTCCTGCAGATAAAGCCCCAATGAACATCGTTTCTATGTGTAAATCACATTACATAAACTGCTTGATAAATGAACTAGGGATTGACATTTCACTTGAAAACTCAACATTTACCCCAACGACACTAACCAAGGAGGACGTATTGTATAATTATAGGGTCTTTTGTATGTTTCTTTTGAATTTCAACCAAAGATGCGGAACGTGATCTTCCTTAACTGTATTAAATACCTAAATTGAATAAGTGTCCTTACAAACAACGTTATATTACTGGGTCTTCCAAGTACTCCACAAAACCTCTTTCTAAATTATTAACATCAATGTATTCAGCAACCAAAGCCAGGCTTCAAATTTATTGTAAAACTACCTATTCTAGAGTAGGTGTGAATCATATACAGATGCTAAAAAAAGTTTAAAGATCTGTTAGAAAACATACAATCTAAGACTATTTCGTATTGCAAATAGTATTAAGATATTTTAATTTTCTATACTTTACACAAGTATTTCCCATTCCAAACTAAAAGGCAAATTAAAAGAGTTGATCCTATTTTGTTCATAAGAAAGAAAGGCCAACATAGGTACAAGTGTCTTGACTTAAGGAGGAATAAATCGTACTTTGTAAAAGAATCACTCTGATTCAAACAAGCAATTCTCTGAAACTGATATTATCGAGATGTTTGATGTCTTGATTGACAACATAATTGTTACGTTTGGAAGACGTTATTTCAACTAACAATCGGCATCCCCATAGGAGCCAACTGTGCGGCTCTTTTTGCCGACTTGTATCTTTAATCATATGAGGCTGACTGTATACAGGAGTTTTTTTTAGGAAAAATGAAAGGAAACTGGCATTATCCTTTGACTTCACTTTCCTTGTATTCTAATTTATACTATTGCTTTTTGAATTTTTAGTTTTGGAAAAATGTCCGGACGATGCGACAAAGGGCCCATTAAATTTTGAAACTGTGACTTCTTCATCGAATCCAGATGGTGCTGAAAACGCTTTAACACCTTCAGGATGGAAACCGTCAGCTGAAGACGAAAAGCCAGTTTTAGAGTTATCAACAAGTGACAGTAATCCGATAATGAATGTTGCTCTAAAAACAGAATCTGTTGACAGTATTGTTGTCAAACTTTATAATGACAACGTTTTAGTTTATGAGGAGACTGTCAAGGTATGATATTTTATTATTATCATCTGATTGTAATATTAATGAAAAAGAAGACAACTTCAATTTATTAACTACGAAACGCACGAAAAGCAGTTCTGAAATTATAGTATAACCAAAGAATGTTTACAAATTACGTTAAATGTACTCAAGTGTCGTTGTTTAGGGGATTATGATTCTTTTCGTAAAGACATGAACATTTAGTCTTTGATTACAATTATATTTTAGTAATGCAACGTTGCATTAAGACTATAGTTGTCTGTCAATACTAAGCACTGTGTATATTGGTAACACCATTTAAGGTAAAGATACCCATTAAATGACACTATACAATGCAATATAGTACTCCATAATAGGCACATTCATACATTCAGAAGGCTATGTATTTCAACAGGCACAACCAAATGGCATCGTAGAACTGGAATTTATCAAACCTCAGTTGGCTGACAAGATAACATTGACAATAATACCTGACCAAACACCTAATGCAACTCCGGTTGTAAAAAGTGTCACCGTGGAGGCTTGTATTAAAGGTAACTAATTTTGTTGTACTGTACATTCAAATTAACCATTAGATTTGATAAACTGCTCCGTAAAAAACGATAGAATGTTAAAATGCATATAATCTTATATTTGCCATATTATATTCATTCATATGTATTGACAAAAGAGTATGAACAATTTTATCTTTAAATCCTTTTTTATTGAATATAACTATCAATGTTATGTCTTAATTTGTGATTGCTTGTAGACATGGATTGAATATGTTGAGGTTTGACCGTTCATGATAAAGGCTACTGAAAAAAGCGCTCGGTCGGACACAATTGATTTTCTGTTATTTTCATATATATGACCAACAAAACAACTTTCATGTCATCTTGAATTTGAACACTGCAAAACAATCCCATATGTTCCCTTTTACTTGATTATTATATTGTTGCTTCATTAGTGGAGGACAAAATCGACATCTTAATGTATAGATGATATTGACAATTTATTCAGTTATATATGTGTTAAAATAAATGTACTAAGCCTGTGATGACAGTGATGTTTTCTGTAGCTCTGACCACAGGACAACCAGCCACAACACCTACATCGTCTCCACTGATTACCTCTGGAACACCTTCTACAGCGTCAACCCCAACTACAGGTACTCAAGCTGGAGCACCAGGAACAAGTCCACCTTTGATTCAAACAACTCAACCGTTGGTAACCACTGGACCCGCTTCTACAACTGCAGGTATTTTTTAAAGTCAGAAAATCTGAATTTCATTATCGTTGTTGTTTTACATGACAAATACGTTGTTGTCCTGCAGATAAAGCCCCAATGAACATCGTTCCTATGTGTAAATCACATTACATAAACTGCTTGATAAATGAACTAGGGATTGACATTTCACTTGAAAACTCAACATTTACCCCAACGACACTAACCAAGGAGGACGTATTGTATAATTATAGGGTCTTTTGTATGTTTCTTTTGAATTTCAACCAAAGATGCGGAACGTGATCTTCCTTAACTGTATTAAATACTTATTTTGAATAAGTGTCCTTACAAACAACGTTATATTACTGGGTCTTCCAAGTACCCCACAAAACCTCTTTCTAAATTATTAACATCAATGTATTCAGCAACCAAAGCCAGGCTTCAAATTTATTGTAAAACTACCTATTCTAGAGTAGGTGTGAATCATATACAGATGCTAAAAAAAGTTTAAAGATCTGTTAGAGAACATACGATCTAAGACTATTTCGTATTGCAAATTGTATTAAGATATTTTAATTTTCTATACTTTACACAAGTATTTCCCATTCCAAACTAAAAGGCAAATTTAAAGAGTTGATCCTATTTTGTTCATAAGAAAGAAAGGCCAACATAGGTTCAAGTGTCTTGACTTAGGGAGGAATAAATCGTACTTTGTAAAATAATCACTCTGATTCAAACAAGCAATTCTCTGAAACTGATATTATCGAGATGTTTGATGTCTTGATTGACAACATAATTGTTACGTTTGGAAGACGTGTATTTCAACAAACAATCGGCATTCCCATAGGAGCCAACAGTGCGGCTCTTTTTCCCGACTTGTATCTTTAATCATATGAGGCTGACTGTATACAGGAGTTTTTTAGGAAGAATGAAAGGAAACTGGCATTATCCTTTGGCTTCACTTTCCTTGTATTCCAATTTAAACTATTGCTTTTTGAATTTATAGGTTTGGGAAAATGTCCAGACGATACGCCAAAGGGCCCATTAAATTTTGAAACTGTGACTTCTTCATCGAATCCAGATGGTGCTGAAAACGCTTTAACACCTTCAGGATGGAAACCGTCAGCTGAAGACGAAAAGCCAGTTTTAGAATTATCAACAAGTGACAGTAATCCGATAATGAATGTTGCTCTAGAAACACAATTTGTTGACAGTATTGTTGTCAAACTTTATAATGACAACGTTTTAGTTTATGAGGAGACTGTCAAGGTATGATATGTTATTATTATCATCTGATTGTAATATTAATGAAAAAGAAGACAACTTCAATTTATTAACTACGAAACGCACGATAAGCAGTTCTGAAATTATAGTATAACCAAAGAATGTTTACAAATTACGTTACATTGTACTCAAGTGTCGTTGTTTAGGGGATTATGATTCTTTTCGTAAAGACATGAACATTTAGTCTTTGATTACAATTATATTTTAGTAATGCAACGTTGCATTAAGACTATAGTCGTCTGTCAATACTAAGCACTGTGTATATTGGTAACACCATTTAAGGTAAAGATACCCATTAAATGACACTATACAATGCAATATAGTACTCCATAATAGGCACATTCATACATTCAGAAGGCTATGTATTTCAACAGGCACAACCAAATGGCATCGTAGAACTGGAATTTATCAAACCTCAGTTGGCTGACAAGATAACATTGACAATAATACCTGACCAAACACCTAATGCAACTCCTGTTGTAAAAAGTGTCACCGTGGAGGCTTGTATTAAAGGTAACTAATTTTGTTGTACTGTACATTCAAATTAACCATTAGATTTGATAAACTGCTCCGTAAAAAACGATAGAATGTTAAAATGCATATAATCTTATGTTTGCCATATTATATTCATTCATATGTATTGACAAAAGAGTATGAACAATTTTATCTTTAAATCCTTTTTTATTGAATATAACTATCAATGTTATGTCTTAATTTGTGATTGCTTGTAGACATGGATTGAATATGTTGAGGTTTGACCGTTCATGATAAAGGCTACTGAAAAAAGCGCTCGGTCGGACACAATTGATTTTCTGTTATTTTCATATATATGACCAACAAAACAACTTTCATGTCATCTTGAATTTGAACACTGCAAAACAATCCCATATGTTCCCTTTTACTTGATTATTATATTGTTGCTTCATTAGTGGAGGACAAAATCGACATCTTAATGTATAGATGATATTGACAATTTATTCAGTTATATATGTGTTAAAATAAATGTACTAAGCCTGTGATGACAGTGATGTTTTCTGTAGCTCTGACCACAGGACAACCAGCCACAACACCTACATCGTCTCCAGTGATTACCTCTGGAACACCTTCTACAGCGTCAACCCCAACTACAGGTACTCAAGCTGGAGCACCAGGAACAAGTCCACCTTTGATTCAAACAACTCAACCGTCGTTAACCACTGGACCCGCTTCTACAACTGCAGGTATTTTTTAAAGTCAGAAAATCTGAATTTCATTATCGTTGTTGTTTTACATGACAAATACGTTGTTGTCCTGCAGATAAAGCCCCAATGAACATCGTTTCTATGTGTAAATCACATTACATAAACTGCTTGATAAATGAACTAGGGATTGACATTTCACTTGAAAACTCAACATTTACCCCAACGACACTAACCAAGGAGGACGTATTGTATAATTATAGGGTCTTTTGTATGTTTCTTTTGAATTTCAACCAAAGATGCGGAACGTGATCTTCCTTAACTGTATTAAATACCTAAATTGAATAAGTGTCCTTACAAACAACGTTATAGTACTGGGTCTTCCAAGTACTCCACAAAACCTCTTTCTAAATCATTAACATCAATGTATTCAGCAACCAAAGCCAGGCTTCAAATTTATTGTAAAACTACCTATTCTAGAGTAGGTGTGAATCATATACAGATGCTAAAAAAAGTTTAAAGATCTGTTCGAGAACATACAATCTAAGACTATTTCGTATTGCAAATAGTATTAAGATATTTTAATTTTCTATACTTTACACAAGTATTTCCCATTCCAAACTAAAAGGCAAATTAAAAGAGTTGATCCTATTTTGTTCATAAGAAAGAAAGGCCAACATAGGTACAAGTGTCTTGACTTAAGGAGGAATAAATCGTACTTTGTAAAAGAATCACTCTGATTCAAACAAGCAATTCTCTGAAACTGATATTATCGAGATGTTTGATGTCTTGATTGACAACATAATTGTTACGTTTGGAAGACGTTATTTCAACTAACAATCGGCATCCCCATAGGAGCCAATTGTGCGGCTCTTTTTGCCGACTTGTATCTTTAATCATATGAGGCTGACTGTATACAGGAGTTTTTTTTTAGGAAAAATGAAAGGAAACTGGCATTATCCTTTGACTTCACTTTCCTTGTATTCTAATTTATACTATTGCTTTTTGAATTTTTAGTTTTGGAAAAATGTCCGGACGATGCGACAAAGGGCCCATTAAATTTTGAAACTGTGACTTCTTCATCGAATCCAGATGGTGCTGAAAACGCTTTAACACCTTCAGGATGGAAACCGTCAGCTGAAGACGAAAAGCCAGTTTTAGAGTTATCAACAAGTGACAGTAATCCGATAATGAATGTTGCTCTAAAAACAGAATTTGTTGACAGTATTGTTGTCAAACTTTATAATGACAACGTTTTAGTTTATGAGGAGACTGTCAAGGTATGATATTTTATTATTATCATCTGATTGTAATATTAATGAAAAAGAAGACAACTTCAATTTATTAACTACGAAACGCACGAAAAGCAGTTCTGAAATTATAGTATAACCAAAGAATGTTTACAAATTACGTTAAATGTACTCAAGTGTCATTGTTTAGGGGATTATGATTCTTTTCGTAAAGACATGAACATTTAGTCTTTGATTACAATTATATTTTAGTAATGCAACGTTGCATTAAGACTATAGTTTTCTGTCAATACTAAGCACTGTGTATATTGGTAACACCATTTAAGGTAAAGATACCCATTAAATGACACTATACAATGCAATATAGTACTCCATAAAAAGCACATTCATACATTCAGAAGGGTATGTATTTCAACAGGCACAACCAAATGGCATCGTAGAACTGGAATTTATCAAACCTCAGTTGGCTGACAAGATAACATTGACAATAATACCTGACCAAACACCTAATGCAACTCCGGTTGTAAAAAGTGTCACCGTGGAGGCTTGTATTAAAGGTAACTAATTTTGTTGTACTGTACATTCAAATTAACCATTAGATTTGATAAACTGCTCCGTAAAAAACGATAGAATGTTAAAATGCATATAATCTTATATTTGCCATATTATATTCATTCATATGTATTGACAAAAGAGTATGAACAATTTTATCTTTAAATCCTTTTTTATTGAATATAACTATCAATGTTATGTCTTAATTTGTGATTGCTTGTAGACATGGATTGAATATGTTGAGGTTTGACCGTTCATGATAAAGGCTACTGAAAAATGCGCTCGGTCGGACACAATTGATTTTCTGTTATTTTCATATATATGACCAACAAAACAACTTTCATGTCATCTTGAATTTGAACACTGCAAAACAATCCCATATGTTCCCTTTTACTTGATTATTATATTTTTGCTTCATTAGTGGAGGACAAAATCGACATCTTAATGTATAGATGATATTGACAATTTATTCAGTTATATATGTGTTAAAATAAATGTACTAAGCCTGTGATGACAGTGATGTTTTCTGTAGCTCTGACCACAGGACAACCAGCCACAACACCTACATCGTCTCCAGTGATTACCTCTGGAACACCTTCTACAGCGTCAACCCCAACTACAGGTACTCAAGCTGGAGCACCAGGAACAAGTCCACCTTTGATTCAAACAACTCAACCGTCGTTAACCACTGGACCCGCTTCTACAACTGCAGGTATTTTTTAAAGTCAGAAAATCTGAATTTCATTATCGTTGTTGTTTTACATGACAAATACGTTGTTGTCCTGCAGATAAAGCCCCAATGAACATCGTTTCTATGTGTAAATCACATTACATAAACTGCTTGATAAATGAACTAGGGATTGACATTTCACTTGAAAACTCAACATTTACCCCAACGACACTAACCAAGGAGGACGTATTGTATAATTATAGGGTCTTTTGTATGTTTCTTTTGAATTTCAACCAAAGATGCGGAACGTGATCTTCCTTAACTGTATTAAATACCTAAATTGAATAAGTGTCCTTACAAACAACGTTATATTACTGGGTCTTCCAAGTACTCCACAAAACCTCTTTCTAAATTATTAACATCAATGTATTCAGCAACCAAAGCCAGGCTTCAAATTTATTGTAAAACTACCTATTCTAGAGTAGGTGTGAATCATATACAGATGCTAAAAAAAGTTTAAAGATCTGTTAGAAAACATACAATCTAAGACTATTTCGTATTGCAAATAGTATTAAGATATTTTAATTTTCTATACTTTACACAAGTATTTCCCATTCCAAACTAAAAGGCAAATTAAAAGAGTTGATCCTATTTTGTTCATAAGAAAGAAAGGCCAACATAGGTACAAGTGTCTTGACTTAAGGAGGAATAAATCGTACTTTGTAAAAGAATCACTCTGATTCAAACAAGCAATTCTCTGAAACTGATATTATCGAGATGTTTGATGTCTTGATTGACAACATAATTGTTACGTTTGGAAGACGTTATTTCAACTAACAATCGGCATCCCCATAGGAGCCAACTGTGCGGCTCTTTTTGCCGACTTGTATCTTTAATCATATGAGGCTGACTGTATACAGGAGTTTTTTTTAGGAAAAATGAAAGGAAACTGGCATTATCCTTTGACTTCACTTTCCTTGTATTCTAATTTATACTATTGCTTTTTGAATTTTTAGTTTTGGAAAAATGTCCGGACGATGCGACAAAGGGCCCATTAAATTTTGAAACTGTGACTTCTTCATCGAATCCAGATGGTGCTGAAAACGCTTTAACACCTTCAGGATGGAAACCGTCAGCTGAAGACGAAAAGCCAGTTTTAGAGTTATCAACAAGTGACAGTAATCCGATAATGAATGTTGCTCTAAAAACAGAATCTGTTGACAGTATTGTTGTCAAACTTTATAATGACAACGTTTTAGTTTATGAGGAGACTGTCAAGGTATGATATTTTATTATTATCATCTGATTGTAATATTAATGAAAAAGAAGACAACTTCAATTTATTAACTACGAAACGCACGAAAAGCAGTTCTGAAATTATAGTATAACCAAAGAATGTTTACAAATTACGTTAAATGTACTCAAGTGTCGTTGTTTAGGGGATTATGATTCTTTTCGTAAAGACATGAACATTTAGTCTTTGATTACAATTATATTTTAGTAATGCAACGTTGCATTAAGACTATAGTTGTCTGTCAATACTAAGCACTGTGTATATTGGTAACACCATTTAAGGTAAAGATACCCATTAAATGACACTATACAATGCAATATAGTACTCCATAATAGGCACATTCATACATTCAGAAGGCTATGTATTTCAACAGGCACAACCAAATGGCATCGTAGAACTGGAATTTATCAAACCTCAGTTGGCTGACAAGATAACATTGACAATAATACCTGACCAAACACCTAATGCAACTCCGGTTGTAAAAAGTGTCACCGTGGAGGCTTGTATTAAAGGTAACTAATTTTGTTGTACTGTACATTCAAATTAACCATTAGATTTGATAAACTGCTCCGTAAAAAACGATAGAATGTTAAAATGCATATAATCTTATATTTGCCATATTATATTCATTCATATGTATTGACAAAAGAGTATGAACAATTTTATCTTTAAATCCTTTTTTATTGAATATAACTATCAATGTTATGTCTTAATTTGTGATTGCTTGTAGACATGGATTGAATATGTTGAGGTTTGACCGTTCATGATAAAGGCTACTGAAAAAAGCGCTCGGTCGGACACAATTGATTTTCTGTTATTTTCATATATATGACCAACAAAACAACTTTCATGTCATCTTGAATTTGAACACTGCAAAACAATCCCATATGTTCCCTTTTACTTGATTATTATATTTTTGCTTCATTAGTGGAGGACAAAATCGACATCTTAATGTATAGATGATATTGACAATTTATTCAGTTATATATGTGTTAAAATAAATGTACTAAGCCTGTGATGACAGTGATGTTTTCTGTAGCTCTGACCACAGGACAACCAGCCACAACACCTACATCGTCTCCAGTGATTACCTCTGGAACACCTTCTACAGCGTCAACCCCAACTACAGGTACTCAAGCTGGAGCACCAGGAACAAGTCCACCTTTGATTCAAACAACTCAACCGTCGGTAACCACTGGACCCGCTTCTACAACTGCAGGTATTTTTTAAAGTCAGAAAATCTGAATTTCATTATCGTTGTTGTTTTACATGACAAATACGTTGTTGTCCTGCAGATAAAGCCCTAATGAACATCGTTTCTATGTGTAAATCAAATTACATAAACTGCTTGATAAATGAACTAGGGATTGACATTTCACTAGGAAACTCAACATTTACCCCAACGACACTAACCAAGGAGGACGTCTTGTATAATTATAGGGTCTTTTGTATGTTTCTTTTGAATTTCAACCAAAGATGCGGCACGTGATCTTCCTTAACTGTATTAAATACCTAAATTGCTCAAGTGTCCTTACAAACAACGTTATATTACTGGGTCTTCCAAGTACTCCACAAAACCTCTTTCTAAATTATTAACATCAATTTATTCAGCAACCAAAGCCGGGCTTCAAATTTATTGTAAAACTACCTATTCGAGAGTAGGTGTGAATCATATACAGATGCTAAAAAAAGTTTAAAGATCTGTTAGAAAACATACAATCTAAGACTATTTCGTATTGCAAATAGTATTAAGATATTTTAATTTTCTATACTTTACACAAGTATTTCCCATTCCAAACTAAAAGGCAAATTAAAAGAGTTGATCCTATTTTGTTCATAAGAAAGAAAGGCCAACATAGGTACAAGTGTCTTGACTTAAGGAGGAATAAATCGTACTTTGTAAAAGAATCACTCTGATTCAAACAAGCAATTCTCTGAAACTGATATTATCGAGATGTTTGATGTCTTGATTGACAACATAATTGTTACGTTTGGAAGACGTTATTTCAACTAACAATCGGCATCCCCATAGGAGCCAACTGTGCGGCTCTTTTTGCCGACTTGTATCTTTAATCATATGAGGCTGACTGTATACAGGAGTTTTTTTTAGGAAAAATGAAAGGAAACTGGCATTATCCTTTGACTTCACTTTCCTTGTATTCTAATTTATACTATTGCTTTTTGAATTTTTAGTTTTGGAAAAATGTCCGGACGATGCGACAAAGGGCCCATTAAATTTTGAAACTGTGACTTCTTCATCGAATCCAGATGGTGCTGAAAACGCTTTAACACCTTCAGGATGGAAACCGTCAGCTGAAGACGAAAAGCCAGTTTTAGAGTTATCAACAAGTGACAGTAATCCGATAATGAATGTTGCTCTAGAAACAGAATTTGTTGACAGTATTGTTGTCAAACTTTATAATGACAACGTTTTAGTTTATGAGGAGACTGTCAAGGTATGATATTTTATTATTATCATCTGATTGTAATATTAATGAAAAAGAAGACAACTTCAATTTATTAACTACGAAACACACGAAAAGCAGTTCTGAAATTATAGTATAACCAAAGAATGTTTACAAATTACGTTACATTGTACACTAGTGTCGTTGTTTAGGGGGTTATGATTCTTTTCGTAAAGACATGAACATTAGTCTGTGATTACAATTATATTTTAGTAATGAAACGTTGCATTAAGACTATAGTCGTCTGTCAATACTAAGCACTGTGTATATAGGTTACACCATTTAAGGTAAAGATACCCATTAAATGACACTATACAATGCAATATAGTACTCCATAATAGACACATTCATACATTCAGAAGGCTATGTATTTCAACAGGCACAACCAAATGGCATCGTAGAACTGGAATTGATCAAACCTCTGTTGGCTGACAAGATAACATTGACGATAATACCTGACCAAACACCTAATACAACTCCGGTTGTAAAAAGTGTCACCGTTGAAGCTTGTATTAAAGGTAACTAAACTTGTTGTACTGTACATTCAAATTAACCATTAGATTTGATAAACTGCTCCGTAAAACCCGATAGAATTATAACCAATATGTTAAAATGCATATAATCTTATATTTGCCATATTATATTCATTCATATGTATTGACAAAAGAGTATGAACAATTTTATCTTTAAATCCTTTTTTATTGAATATAACCATCAATGTTATGTCTTAATTTGTGATTGCTTGTAGACATTGATTGAATATGTTGAGGTTTGAGCGTTCATTATGAAGGCTACTGAAAAACGTGCTAGGTCGGACAAAACTGATTTTCTGTTATTTTCATATATATGACCAACAAAACAACTTTCATGTCATCTTGAATTGAACACTGCAAAACAATCCCATATGTTCCCTTTTACTTGATTATTATATTTTTGCTTCATTAGTGGAGGACAAAATCGACATCTTAATGTATAGATGATATTGACAATTTTATTCAGTTATATATGTGTTAAAATAAATGTACTAAGCCTGTGATGATAGTGATGTTTTCTGTAGCTGTGACCACAGGACAACAGGCCACAACACCTACATCGTCTCCAGTGATTACCTCTGGAACACCTTCTACAGCGTCAACCCCAACTACAGGTACTCAAGCTGGAGCACCTGGAACAAGTCCACCTTTGATTCAAACAACTCAACCGTCGGTAACCACTGGACCCGCTTCTACTACTGCAGGTATTTTTTAAAGTCAGAAAATCTTAAATTCATTATCGTTGTTGTTCTACATGACAAATACGTTGTTGTCCTGCAGATAAAGCCCCAATGAACATCGTTTTTATGTGTAAATTACATTACATAAACTGCTTGATAAATGAACTAGGGATTGACATTTCACTTGGAAACTCAACATTTACCCCAACGACACTAACCAAGGAGGACGTCTTGTATAATTATAGGGTCTTTTGTATGTTTCTTTTGAATTTCAACCAAAGATGCGGCACGTGATCTTCCTTAACTGCATTAAATACCTAAATTGCTCAAGTGTCCTTACAAACAACGTTATATTACTGGGTCTTCCAAGTACTCCACAAAACCTCTTTCTAAATTATTAACATCAATTTATTCAGCAACCAAAGCCGGGCTTCAAATTTATTGTAAAACTACCTATTCGAGAGTAGGTGTGAATCATATACAGATGCTAAAAAAAGTTTAAAGATCTGTTAGAGAACACACAATCTAAGACTATTTCGTCTTGGAAATAGTATTAAGATATTTGAATTTTCTATACTTTACACAAGTATTTCCTATTCCAAACTAAAAGGCAAATTGAAAGAGTTGATCCTATTTTGTTATTAAGAAAGAAAGGCCAACATAGGTACAAGTGTCTTGTCTAAGTGAGGAATAAATCGTACTTTGTAAAAAAATCACTCTGATTCAAACAAGCAATTCTCTGAAACTGATATTATCGAGATGTTTGATGTCTTGATTGACATTATAATTGTTACGTTTAGAAGACGTGTATTTCAACTAACAATCGGCATTCCCATAGGAACCAACTGTGCAGCTCTTTTTGCCGACTTGTATCTTTAATCATATGAGGCTGACTGTATACAGGAGTTTTTATGAAAGAATGAAAGGAAACTGGCATTATCCTTTGACTTCGCTTTCCTTGTATTCTAATTTATACTATTGCTTTTTGAATTTATAGGTTTGGGAAAATGTCCAGACGATACGCCAAAGGGCCCATTAAATTTTGAAACTGTGACTTCTTCATCGAATCCAGATGGTGCTGAAAACGCTTTAACACCTTCAGGATGGAAACCGTCAGCTGAAGACGAAAAGCCAGTTTTAGAGTTATCAACAAGTAACAGTAATCCGATAATGAATGTTGCTCTAGAAACAGAATTTGTTGACAGTATTGTTGTCAAACTTTATAATGACAACGTTTTAGTTTATGAGGAGACTGTCAAGGTATAATATTTTATTATTATCATCTGATTGTAATATTAATGAAAAAGAAGACAACTTCAATTTATTAACTACGAAACACACGAAAAGCAGTTCTGAAATTCTAGTATAACCAAAGAATGTTTACAAATTACGTTACATTGTACTCTAGTGTCGTTGTTTCGGGGATTATGATTCTTTTCGTAAAGACATGAACATTAGTCCTTGATTACAATTATATTTTAGTAATGAAACGTTGCATTAAGACTATAGTCGTCTGTCAATACTAAGCACTGTGTATATAGGTTACACCATTTAAGGTAAAGATACCAATTAAATGACACTATACAATGCAATATAGTACTCCATAATAGACACATTCATACATTCAGAAGGCTATGTATTTCAACAGGCACAACCAAATGGCATCGTAGAACTGGAATTGATCAAACCTCTGTTGGCTGACAAGATAACATTGACGATAATACCTGACCAAACACCTAATGCAACTCCGGTTGTAAAAAGTGTCACCGTTGAGGCTTGTATTAAAGGTAACTAATTTTGTTGTACTGTACATTCAAATTAACCATTAGATTTGATAAACTGCTCCGTAAAACCCGATAGAATTATAACCAATATGTTAAAATGCATATAATCTTATATTTGCCATATTATATTCATTCATATGTATTGACAAAAGAGTATGAACAATTTTATCTTTAAATCCTTTTTTATTGAATATAACCATCAATGTTATGTCTTAATTTGTGATTGCTTCTAGACATGGATTGAATATGTTGAGGTTTGAGCATTCATTATGAAGGCTACTGAAAAACGTGCTAGGTCGGACAAAACTGATTTTCTGTTATTTTCATATATATGACCAACAAAACAACTTTCATGTCTTCTTGAATTGAACACTGCAAAACAATCCCATATGTTCCCTTTTACTTGATTATTATATTTTTGCTTCATTAGTGGAGGACAAAATCGACATCTTAATGTATAGATGATATTGACAATTTTATTCAGTTATATATGTGTTGAAATGAATGTATTAAGCCTGTGATGATAGTGATGTTTTCTGTAGCTGTGACCACAGGACAACCAGCCACAACACCTACATCATCTCCAGTGATTACCTCTGGAACACCTTCTACAGCGTCAACCCCAACTACAGGTACTCAAGCTGGAGCACCAGGAACCAGTCCACCTTTGATTCAAACAACTCAACCGTCGGTAACCACTGGACCCGCTTCTACAACTGCAGGTATTTTTTAAAGTCAGAAAATCTGAAATTCATTATCGTTGTTGTTCTACATGACAAATACGTTGTTGTCCTGCAGATAAAGCCCCAATGAACATCGTTTTTATGTGTAAATTACATTACATAAACTACTTGATAAATGAACTAGGGATTGACATTTCACTAGGAAACTCAACATTTACCCCAACGACACTAACCAAGGAGGACGTCTTGTATAATTATAGGGTCTTTTGTATGTTTCTTTTGAATTTCAACCAAAGATGCGGCACGTGATCTTCCTTAACTGTATTAAATACCTAAATTGCTCAAGTGTCCTTACAAACAACGTTATATTACTGGGTCTTCCAAGTACTCCACAAAACCTCTTTCTAAATTATTAACATCAATTTATTCAGCAACCAAAGCCGGGCTTCAAATTTATTGTAAAACTACCTATTCGAGAGTAGGTGTGAATCATATACAGATGCTAAAAAAAGTTTAAAGATCTGTTAGAAAACATACAATCTAAGACTATTTCGTATTGCAAATAGTATTAAGATATTTTAATTTTCTATACTTTACACAAGTATTTCCCATTCCAAACTAAAAGGCAAATTAAAAGAGTTGATCCTATTTTGTTCATAAGAAAGAAAGGCCAACATAGGTACAAGTGTCTTGACTTAAGGAGGAATAAATCGTACTTTGTAAAAGAATCACTCTGATTCAAACAAGCAATTCTCTGAAACTGATATTATCGAGATGTTTGATGTCTTGATTGACAACATAATTGTTACGTTTGGAAGACGTTATTTCAACTAACAATCGGCATCCCCATAGGAGCCAACTGTGCGGCTCTTTTTGCCGACTTGTATCTTTAATCATATGAGGCTGACTGTATACAGGAGTTTTTTTTAGGAAAAATGAAAGGAAACTGGCATTATCCTTTGACTTCACTTTCCTTGTATTCTAATTTATACTATTGCTTTTTGAATTTTTAGTTTTGGAAAAATGTCCGGACGATGCGACAAAGGGCCCATTAAATTTTGAAACTGTGACTTCTTCATCGAATCCAGATGGTGCTGAAAACGCTTTAACACCTTCAGGATGGAAACCGTCAGCTGAAGACGAAAAGCCAGTTTTAGAGTTATCAACAAGTGACAGTAATCCGATAATGAATGTTGCTCTAAAAACAGAATCTGTTGACAGTATTGTTGTCAAACTTTATAATGACAACGTTTTAGTTTATGAGGAGACTGTCAAGGTATGATATTTTATTATTATCATCTGATTGTAATATTAATGAAAAAGAAGACAACTTCAATTTATTAACTACGAAACGCACGAAAAGCAGTTCTGAAATTATAGTATAACCAAAGAATGTTTACAAATTACGTTAAATGTACTCAAGTGTCGTTGTTTAGGGGATTATGATTCTTTTCGTAAAGACATGAACATTTAGTCTTTGATTACAATTATATTTTAGTAATGCAACGTTGCATTAAGACTATAGTTGTCTGTCAATACTAAGCACTGTGTATATTGGTAACACCATTTAAGGTAAAGATACCCATTAAATGACACTATACAATGCAATATAGTACTCCATAATAGGCACATTCATACATTCAGAAGGCTATGTATTTCAACAGGCACAACCAAATGGCATCGTAGAACTGGAATTTATCAAACCTCAGTTGGCTGACAAGATAACATTGACAATAATACCTGACCAAACACCTAATGCAACTCCGGTTGTAAAAAGTGTCACCGTGGAGGCTTGTATTAAAGGTAACTAATTTTGTTGTACTGTACATTCAAATTAACCATTAGATTTGATAAACTGCTCCGTAAAAAACGATAGAATGTTAAAATGCATATAATCTTATATTTGCCATATTATATTCATTCATATGTATTGACAAAAGAGTATGAACAATTTTATCTTTAAATCCTTTTTTATTGAATATAACTATCAATGTTATGTCTTAATTTGTGATTGCTTGTAGACATGGATTGAATATGTTGAGGTTTGACCGTTCATGATAAAGGCTACTGAAAAAAGCGCTCGGTCGGACACAATTGATTTTCTGTTATTTTCATATATATGACCAACAAAACAACTTTCATGTCATCTTGAATTTGAACACTGCAAAACAATCCCATATGTTCCCTTTTACTTGATTATTATATTTTTGCTTCATTAGTGGAGGACAAAATCGACATCTTAATGTATAGATGATATTGACAATTTATTCAGTTATATATGTGTTAAAATAAATGTACTAAGCCTGTGATGACAGTGATGTTTTCTGTAGCTCTGACCACAGGACAACCAGCCACAACACCTACATCGTCTCCAGTGATTACCTCTGGAACACCTTCTACAGCGTCAACCCCAACTACAGGTACTCAAGCTGGAGCACCAGGAACAAGTCCACCTTTGATTCAAACAACTCAACCGTCGGTAACCACTGGACCCGCTTCTACAACTGCAGGTATTTTTTAAAGTCAGAAAATCTGAATTTCATTATCGTTGTTGTTTTACATGACAAATACGTTGTTGTCCTGCAGATAAAGCCCTAATGAACATCGTTTCTATGTGTAAATCAAATTACATAAACTGCTTGATAAATGAACTAGGGATTGACATTTCACTTGAAAACTCAACATTTACCCCAACGACACTAACCAAGGAGGACGTATTGTATAATTATAGGGTCTTTTGTATGTTTCTTTTGAATTTCAACCAAAGATGCGGAACGTGATCTTCCTTAACTGTATTAAATACCTAAATTGAATAAGTGTCCTTACAAACAACGTTATATTACTGGGTCTTCCAGGTACTCCGCAAAACCTCTTTCTAATTGATTAACATCAATGTATTCAGCAACCAAAGCCAGGCTTCAAATTTATTGTAAAACTACCTATTCTAGAGTAGGTGTGAATCATATACAGATGCTAAAAAAAGTTTAAAGATCTGTTAGAGAACATACAATCTAAGACTATTTCGTATTGCAAATAGTATTAAGATATTTTAATTTTCTATACTTTACACAAGTATTTCCCATTCCAAACTAAAAGGCAAATTAAAAGAGTTGATCCTATTTTGTTCATAAGAAAGAAAGGCCAACATAGGTACAAGTGTCTTGACTTAAGGAGGAATAAATCGTACTTTGTAAAAGAATCACTCTGATTCAAACAAGCAATTCTCTGAAACTGATATTATCGAGATGCTTGATGTCTTGATTGACATTATAATTGTTACGTTTAGAAGACGTGTATTTCAACTAACAATCGGCATTCCCATAGGAACCAACTGTGCGGCTCTTTTTGCCGACTTGTATCTTTAATCATATGAGGCTGACTGTATACAGGAGTTTTTTTTAGGAAAAATGAAAGGAAACTGGCATTATCCATTGACTTCACTTTCCTTGTATTCTAATTTATACTATTGCTTTTTGAATTTATAGGTTTGGGAAAATGTCCAGACGATACGCCAAAGGGCCCATTAAATTTTGAAACTGTGACTTCTTCATCGAATCCAGATGGTGCTGAAAACGCTTTAACACCTTCAGGATGGAAACCGTCAGCTGAAGACGAAAAGCCAGTTTTAGAGTTATCAACAAGTGACAGTAATCCGATAATGAATGTTGCTCTAGAAACAGAATTTGTTGACAGTATTGTTGTCAAACTTTATAATGACAACGTTTTAGTTTATGAGGAGACTGTCAAGGTATGATATTTTATTATTATCATCTGATTGTAATATTAATGAAAAAGAAGACAACTTCAATTTATTAACTACGAAACACACGAAAAGCAGTTCTGAAATTATAGTATAACCAAAGAATGTTTACAAATTACGTTACATTGTACACTAGTGTCGTTGTTTAGGGGGTTATGATTCTTTTCGTAAAGACATGAACATTAGTCTGTGATTACAATTATATTTTAGTAATGAAACGTTGCATTAAGACTATAGTCGTCTGTCAATACTAAGCACTGTGTATATAGGTTACACCATTTAAGGTAAAGATACCCATTAAATGACACTATACAATGCAATATAGTACTCCATAATAGACACATTCATACATTCAGAAGGCTATGTATTTCAACAGGCACAACCAAATGGCATCGTAGAACTGGAATTGATCAAACCTCTGTTGGCTGACAAGATAACATTGACGATAATACCTGACCAAACACCTAATACAACTCCGGTTGTAAAAAGTGTCACCGTTGAAGCTTGTATTAAAGGTAACTAAACTTGTTGTACTGTACATTCAAATTAACCATTAGATTTGATAAACTGCTCCGTAAAACCCGATAGAATTATAACCAATATGTTAAAATGCATATAATCTTATATTTGCCATATTATATTCATTCATATGTATTGACAAAAGAGTATGAACAATTTTATCTTTAAATCCTTTTTTATTGAATATAACCATCAATGTTATGTCTTAATTTGTGATTGCTTGTAGACATTGATTGAATATGTTGAGGTTTGAGCGTTCATTATGAAGGCTACTGAAAAACGTGCTAGGTCGGACAAAACTGATTTTCTGTTATTTTCATATATATGACCAACAAAACAACTTTCATGTCATCTTGAATTGAACACTGCAAAACAATCCCATATGTTCCCTTTTACTTGATTATTATATTTTTGCTTCATTAGTGGAGGACAAAATCGACATCTTAATGTATAGATGATATTGACAATTTTATTCAGTTATATATGTGTTAAAATAAATGTACTAAGCCTGTGATGATAGTGATGTTTTCTGTAGCTGTGACCACAGGACAACAGGCCACAACACCTACATCGTCTCCAGTGATTACCTCTGGAACACCTTCTACAGCGTCAACCCCAACTACAGGTACTCAAGCTGGAGCACCTGGAACAAGTCCACCTTTGATTCAAACAACTCAACCGTCGGTAACCACTGGACCCGCTTCTACTACTGCAGGTATTTTTTAAAGTCAGAAAATCTTAAATTCATTATCGTTGTTGTTCTACATGACAAATACGTTGTTGTCCTGCAGATAAAGCCCCAATGAACATCGTTTTTATGTGTAAATTACATTACATAAACTGCTTGATAAATGAACTAGGGATTGACATTTCACTTGGAAACTCAACATTTACCCCAACGACACTAACCAAGGAGGACGTCTTGTATAATTATAGGGTCTTTTGTATGTTTCTTTTGAATTTCAACCAAAGATGCGGCACGTGATCTTCCTTAACTGCATTAAATACCTAAATTGCTCAAGTGTCCTTACAAACAACGTTATATTACTGGGTCTTCCAAGTACTCCACAAAACCTCTTTCTAAATTATTAACATCAATTTATTCAGCAACCAAAGCCGGGCTTCAAATTTATTGTAAAACTACCTATTCGAGAGTAGGTGTGAATCATATACAGATGCTAAAAAAAGTTTAAAGATCTGTTAGAGAACACACAATCTAAGACTATTTCGTCTTGGAAATAGTATTAAGATATTTGAATTTTCTATACTTTACACAAGTATTTCCTATTCCAAACTAAAAGGCAAATTGAAAGAGTTGATCCTATTTTGTTATTAAGAAAGAAAGGCCAACATAGGTACAAGTGTCTTGTCTAAGTGAGGAATAAATCGTACTTTGTAAAAAAATCACTCTGATTCAAACAAGCAATTCTCTGAAACTGATATTATCGAGATGTTTGATGTCTTGATTGACATTATAATTGTTACGTTTAGAAGACGTGTATTTCAACTAACAATCGGCATTCCCATAGGAACCAACTGTGCAGCTCTTTTTGCCGACTTGTATCTTTAATCATATGAGGCTGACTGTATACAGGAGTTTTTATGAAAGAATGAAAGGAAACTGGCATTATCCTTTGACTTCGCTTTCCTTGTATTCTAATTTATACTATTGCTTTTTGAATTTATAGGTTTGGGAAAATGTCCAGACGATACGCCAAAGGGCCCATTAAATTTTGAAACTGTGACTTCTTCATCGAATCCAGATGGTGCTGAAAACGCTTTAACACCTTCAGGATGGAAACCGTCAGCTGAAGACGAAAAGCCAGTTTTAGAGTTATCAACAAGTAACAGTAATCCGATAATGAATGTTGCTCTAGAAACAGAATTTGTTGACAGTATTGTTGTCAAACTTTATAATGACAACGTTTTAGTTTATGAGGAGACTGTCAAGGTATAATATTTTATTATTATCATCTGATTGTAATATTAATGAAAAAGAAGACAACTTCAATTTATTAACTACGAAACACACGAAAAGCAGTTCTGAAATTCTAGTATAACCAAAGAATGTTTACAAATTACGTTACATTGTACTCTAGTGTCGTTGTTTCGGGGATTATGATTCTTTTCGTAAAGACATGAACATTAGTCCTTGATTACAATTATATTTTAGTAATGAAACGTTGCATTAAGACTATAGTCGTCTGTCAATACTAAGCACTGTGTATATAGGTTACACCATTTAAGGTAAAGATACCAATTAAATGACACTATACAATGCAATATAGTACTCCATAATAGACACATTCATACATTCAGAAGGCTATGTATTTCAACAGGCACAACCAAATGGCATCGTAGAACTGGAATTGATCAAACCTCTGTTGGCTGACAAGATAACATTGACGATAATACCTGACCAAACACCTAATGCAACTCCGGTTGTAAAAAGTGTCACCGTTGAGGCTTGTATTAAAGGTAACTAATTTTGTTGTACTGTACATTCAAATTAACCATTAGATTTGATAAACTGCTCCGTAAAACCCGATAGAATTATAACCAATATGTTAAAATGCATATAATCTTATATTTGCCATATTATATTCATTCATATGTATTGACAAAAGAGTATGAACAATTTTATCTTTAAATCCTTTTTTATTGAATATAACCATCAATGTTATGTCTTAATTTGTGATTGCTTCTAGACATGGATTGAATATGTTGAGGTTTGAGCATTCATTATGAAGGCTACTGAAAAACGTGCTAGGTCGGACAAAACTGATTTTCTGTTATTTTCATATATATGACCAACAAAACAACTTTCATGTCTTCTTGAATTGAACACTGCAAAACAATCCCATATGTTCCCTTTTACTTGATTATTATATTTTTGCTTCATTAGTGGAGGACAAAATCGACATCTTAATGTATAGATGATATTGACAATTTTATTCAGTTATATATGTGTTAAAATAAATGTACTAAGCCTGTGATGATAGTGATGTTTTCTGTAGCTGTGACCACAGGACAACCAGCCACAACACCTACATCGTCTCCAGTGATTACCTCTGGAACACCTTCTACAGCGTCAACCCCAACTACAGGTACTCAAGCTGGAGCACCAGGAACAAGTCCACCTTTGATTCAAACAACTCAACCGTCGGTAACCACTGGACCCGCTTCTACAACTGCAGGTATTTTTTAAAGTCAGAAAATCTGAAATTCATTATCGTTGTTGTTCTACATGACAAATACGTTGTTGTCCTGCAGATAAAGCCCCAATGAACATCGTTTTTATGTGTAAATTACATTACATAAACTGCTTGATAAATGCACTAGGGATTGACATTTCACTTGGAAACTCAACATTTACCCCAACGACACTAACCAAGGAGGACGTCTTGTATAATTATAGGGTCTTTTGTATGTTTCTTTTGAATTTCAACCAAAGGTGCGGAACGTGATCTTCCTTAACTGTATTAAATACCTAAATTGCTCAAGTGTCCTTACAAACAAAGTTATATTACTGGGTCTTCCAAGTACTCCACAAAACCTCTTTCTAAATTATTAACATCAATTTATTCAGCAACCAAAGCCGGGCTTCAAATTTATTGTAAAACTACCTATTCGAGAGTAGGTATGAATCATATACAGATGCTAAAAAAAGTTTAAAGATCTGTTAGAGAACATACAATCTAAGACTATTTCGTCTTGCAAATAGTATTAAGATATTTTAATTTTCTATACTTTACACAAGTATTTCCCATTCCAAACTAAAAGGCAAATTGAAAGAGTTGATCCTATTTTGTTATTAAGAAAGAAAGGCCAACATAGGTACAAGTGTCTTGTCTAAGGGAGGAATAAATCGTACTTTGTAAAAAAATCACTCTGATTCAAACAAGCAATTCTCTGAAACTGATATTATCGAGATGTTTGATGTCTTGATTGACAACATAATTGTTACGTTTGGAAGACGTGTATTTCAACTAACAATCGGCATTCCCATAGGAACCAACTGTGCGGCTTTTTTTGCCGACTTGTATCTTTAATCATATGAGGCTGACTGTATACAGGAGTTTTTAAGGAAGAATGAAAGGAAACTGGCATTATCCTTTGACTTCACTTTCCTTGTATTCTAATTTATACTATTGCTTTTTGAATTTATAGGTTTGGGAAAATGTCCAGACGATACGTCAAAGGGCCCATTAAATTTTGAAACTGTGACTTCTTCATCGAGTCCAGATGGTGCTGAAAACGCTTTAACACCTTCAGGATGGAAACCGTCAGCTGAAGACGAAAAGCCAGTTTTAGAGTTATCAACAAGTGACAGTAATCCGATAATGAATGTTGCTCTAGAAACAGAATTTGTTGACAGTATTGTTATCAAACTTTATAACGACAACGTTTTAGTTTATGAGGAGACTGTCAAGGTATGATATTTTATTATTATCATCTGATTGTAGTATTAATGAAAAAGAAGACAACTTCAATTTATTAACTACGAAACGCACGAAAAGCAGTTCTGAAATTCTAGTATAACCAAAGAATGTTTACAAATTACGTTACATTGTACACTAGTGTCGTTGTTTCGGGGATTATGATTCTTTTCGTAAAGACATGAACATTAGTCTTTGATTACAATTATATTTTAGTAATGAAACGTTGCATTAAGACTATAGTCGTCTGTCAATACTAAGCACTGTGTATATAGGTTACACCATTTAAGGTAAAGATACCCATTAAATGACACTATACAATGCAATATAGTACTCCATAATAGACACATTCATACATTCAGAAGGCTATGTATTTCAACAGGCACAACCAAATGGCATCGTAGAACTGGAATTGATCAAACCTCTGTTGGCTGACAAGATAACATTGACGATAATACCTGACCAAACACCTAATGCAACTCCGGTTGTAAAAAGTGTCACCGTTGAGGCTTGTATTAAAGGTAACTAAACTTGTTGTACTGTACATTCAAATTAACCATTAGATTTGATAAACTGCTCCGTAAAACCCGATAGAATTATAACCAATATGTTAAAATGCATATAATCTTATATTTGCCATATTATATTCATTCATATGTATTGACAAAAGAGTATGAGCAATTTTATCTTTAAATCCTTTTTTATTGAATATAACTATGAATGTTTTGTCTTAATTTGTGATTGCTTGTAGACATGGATTGAATATGTTGAGGTTTGAGCGTTCATTATGAAGGCTACTGAAAAACGTGCTAGGTCGGACAAAACTGATTTTCTGTTATTTTCATATATATGACCAACAAAACAACTTTCATGTCATCTTGAATTGAACACTGCAAAACAATCCCATATGTTCCCTTTTACTTGATTATTATATTTTTGCTTCATTAGTGGAGGACAAAATCGACATCTTAATGTATAGATGATATTGACAATTTTATTCAGTTATATATGTGTTAAAATAAATGTACTAAGCCTGTGATGATAGTGATGTTTTCTGTAGCTGTGACCACAGGACAACCAGCCACAACGCCTACATCGTCTCCAGTTATTACCTCTGGAACACCTTCTACAGCGTCAACTCCAACTACGGGAACTCAAGCTGGAGCACCAGGAACAAGTCCACCTTTGATTCAAACAACTCAACCGTCGGTAACCACTGGACCCGCTTCTACAACTGCAGGTATTTTTTCAAGTCAGAAAATCTGAAATTCATTATCGTTGTTGTTCTACATGACAAATACGTTGTTGTCCTGCAGATAAAGCCCCAATGAACATCGTTTTTATGTGTAAATTACATTACATAAACTGCTTGATTTATGAACTAGGGATTGACATTTCACTTGGAAACTCAACATTTACCCCAACGACACTAACCAAGGAGGACGTCTTGTATAATTATAGTGTCTTTTGTAGGTTTCTTTTGAATTTCAACAAAAGATGCGGAACTTGATCTTCCTTAACTGTATTAAATACCTAAATTGAATAAGTGTCCTTACAAACAACGTTATATTACTGGGTCTTCAAAATACTCCACAAAACCTCTTTCTAAATTATAACATCAATGTATTCAGCAACCAAAGCCAGGCTTCAAATTTATTGTAAAACTACCTATTCAAGAGTAGGTGTGAATCATATACAGATGCTAAAAAAGGTTTAAAGATCTGTTAGAGAACACACAATCTAAGACTATTTCGTCTTGCAAATAGTATTAAGATATTTTAATTTTCTTTAGTTTACACAAGTATTTCCCATTTCAAACTAAAAGGCAAATTGAAAGAGTTGATCCTATTTTGTTATTAAGAAAGAAAGGCCAACATAGGTACACGTGTCTTGTCTTAGGGAGGGATAAATCGTACTTTGTAAAAAAATCACTCTGATTCAAACAAGAAATTCTCTGAAACTGATATTATCGAGATGTTTGATGTCTTGATTGACAACATAATTGTTACGTTTGGAAGACGTGTATTTCAACTAACAATCGGCATTCCCATATGAACCAACTGTGCGGCTTTTTTTGCCGACTTGTATCTTTAATCATATGAGGCTGACTGTATACAGGAGTTTTTAAGGAAGAATGAAAGGAAGCTGCCATTATCCTTTGACTTCTCTTTCCTTGTATTCTAATTTATACTATTGCTTTTTGAATTTATAGGTTTGGGAAAATGTCCAGACGATACGCCAAAGGGCCCATTAAATTTTGAAACTGTGACTTCTTCATCGAATCCAGATGGTGCTGAAAACGCTTTAACACCTTCAGGATGGAAACCGTCAGCTGAAGACGAAAAGCCAGTTTTAGAGTTATCAACAAGTGACAGTAATCCGATAATGAATGTTGCTCTAGAAACAGAATTTGTTGACAGTATTGTTATCAAACTTTATAACGACAACGTTTTAGTTTATGAGGAGACTGTCAAGGTATGATATTTTATTATTATCATCTGATTGTAGTATTAATGAAAAAGAAGACAACTTCAATTTATTAACTACGAAACGCACGAAAAGCAGTTCTGAAATTCTAGTATAACCAAAGAATGTTTACAAATTACGTTACATTGTACACTAGTGTCGTTGTTTCGGGGATTATGATTCTTTTCGTAAAGACATGAACATTAGTCTTTGATTACAATTATATTTTAGTAATGAAACGTTGCATTAAGACTATAGTCGTCTGTCAATACTAAGCACTGTGTATATAGGTTACACCATTTAAGGTAAAGATACCCATTAAATGACACTATACAATGCAATATAGTACTCCATAATAGACACATTCATACATTCAGAAGGCTATGTATTTCAACAGGCACAACCAAATGGCATCGTAGAACTGGAATTGATCAAACCTCTGTTGGCTGACAAGATAACATTGACGATAATACCTGACCAAACACCTAATGCAACTCCGGTTGTAAAAAGTGTCACCGTTGAGGCTTGTATTAAAGGTAACTAAACTTGTTGTACTGTACATTCAAATTAACCATTAGATTTGATAAACTGCTCCGTAAAACCCGATAGAATTATAACCAATATGTTAAAATGCATATAATCTTATATTTGCCATATTATATTCATTCATATGTATTGACAAAAGAGTATGAGCAATTTTATCTTTAAATCCTTTTTTATTGAATATAACTATGAATGTTTTGTCTTAATTTGTGATTGCTTGTAGACATGGATTGAATATGTTGAGGTTTGAGCGTTCATTATGAAGGCTACTGAAAAACGTGCTAGGTCGGACAAAACTGATTTTCTGTTATTTTCATATATATGACCAACAAAACAACTTTCATGTCATCTTGAATTGAACACTGCAAAACAATCCCATATGTTCCCTTTTACTTGATTATTATATTTTTGCTTCATTAGTGGAGGACAAAATCGACATCTTAATGTATAGATGATATTGACAATTTTATTCAGTTATATATGTGTTAAAATAAATGTACTAAGCCTGTGATGATAGTGATGTTTTCTGTAGCTGTGACCACAGGACAACCAGCCACAACGCCTACATCGTCTCCAGTTATTACCTCTGGAACACCTTCTACAGCGTCAACTCCAACTACGGGAACTCAAGCTGGAGCACCAGGAACAAGTCCACCTTTGATTCAAACAACTCAACCGTCGGTAACCACTGGACCCGCTTCTACAACTGCAGGTATTTTTTCAAGTCAGAAAATCTGAAATTCATTATCGTTGTTGTTCTACATGACAAATACGTTGTTGTCCTGCAGATAAAGCCCCAATGAACATCGTTTTTATGTGTAAATTACATTACATAAACTGCTTGATTTATGAACTAGGGATTGACATTTCACTTGGAAACTCAACATTTACCCCAACGACACTAACCAAGGAGGACGTCTTGTATAATTATAGTGTCTTTTGTAGGTTTCTTTTGAATTTCAACAAAAGATGCGGAACTTGATCTTCCTTAACTGTATTAAATACCTAAATTGAATAAGTGTCCTTACAAACAACGTTATATTACTGGGTCTTCAAAATACTCCACAAAACCTCTTTCTAAATTATAACATCAATGTATTCAGCAACCAAAGCCAGGCTTCAAATTTATTGTAAAACTACCTATTCAAGAGTAGGTGTGAATCATATACAGATGCTAAAAAAGGTTTAAAGATCTGTTAGAGAACACACAATCTAAGACTATTTCGTCTTGCAAATAGTATTAAGATATTTTAATTTTCTTTAGTTTACACAAGTATTTCCCATTTCAAACTAAAAGGCAAATTGAAAGAGTTGATCCTATTTTGTTATTAAGAAAGAAAGGCCAACATAGGTACACGTGTCTTGTCTTAGGGAGGGATAAATCGTACTTTGTAAAAAAATCACTCTGATTCAAACAAGAAATTCTCTGAAACTGATATTATCGAGATGTTTGATGTCTTGATTGACAACATAATTGTTACGTTTGGAAGACGTGTATTTCAACTAACAATCGGCATTCCCATATGAACCAACTGTGCGGCTTTTTTTGCCGACTTGTATCTTTAATCATATGAGGCTGACTGTATACAGGAGTTTTTAAGGAAGAATGAAAGGAAGCTGCCATTATCCTTTGACTTCTCTTTCCTTGTATTCTAATTTATACTATTGCTTTTTGAATTTATAGGTTTGGGAAAATGTCCAGACGATACGCCAAAGGGCCCATTAAATTTTGAAACTGTGACTTCTT